GTAATGAAGAAGACTTCGCGGCTGATGTTGCTTCTAATAATAGGCTCCTAGTTGACTATTTCTATGGCGGTAAAAATGTTAAGAAGGAACACCTTATCAAGTGTTTTGATGACAAGAGGTGGGGGAAAAACGATGAAGACGCCGTCAAGATTTCGATATTGTACTTCATCCACAATTTTATCTTTTCCCAACAGAATGATGTTCCCATTCCGATAAGAGACTTTGTGATAGTTGATAATGGTACATACGAACAGTTTCCATGGGGAAAGTTGTCATTCAAATCCTTGATGAAATCATATAGGTGCACAATGAACTTTACTAAGAAATTGTATCGCCTTCGGGGAATGTCGTATGCTCTACAAGTATGGATTTATGAGTGTTGCATGCAACTCCTACCAACATTAGTTGTTCGTCATGATAACTTAGTTTCAAGAATTCTGAACTGGCGTGTTGTTGATTCGCAGCCTAAATTCAACACCATCATGGAAAGCATTTTCAGTAACGAAGGCATCAGAGTAAGTAGTACATGTTCCTGGTAATGCCCATTAATTATGAAGTCAAACTTTTTTTAAATGACGTATTTGTATCTGGTATGTATTGTATCTGTCATATATCTTTTAAAGTTATTTCAACTAGATATTGTTGTATCTAGTAATATTTCTAGATGTATGTGTCATATTACATCTTAATGAACTTAACAATAAACTAAATTATATATAAAGATACACTTCATTTTCCGAGATACGCACTATAAATCATGAAAATATTTGCATGTATCTATACTACTTTATTATCTAAGACACATGTGCAACACAATATTAATGCTACAAACACCTTTATTACTCTTCAACAATAGATCTTTTTACTTTAACAATGATGTCTACATTATCTCTCCGAGATACACTTCATTTGTCCAAGATATACATGTTACAGAAACATTCATTACTTTTCAACATTAGATTTGTAATCTCTTAATAATGAGATATACAATATTTTTTTCAAGATACACTAACCTATGACACATTTTTTCATGCTTCTATAATACACAAAAAACGTACACATCATGTATCCAACAAATATGACTAACCTCTACTTGTTTGATCTTAAAACCTTGAATTGAAATCGATTGTCAATAGCATTTTTTTGCATTACAGCCACAATAGTACTCTTGTCCTTGTACAACTGCTTGATTTTAACTACTTTGTGGCTACGATCACAAATAACATGATTCGAATTACTATCCATAACGCATTTACACTACGATTATCTACAAGAGCTGCTACAGATACAGTCCCAACTTCAACCATGGATGTATCTTGGTCAAAAGATATTTCACCATTGTTGCTGCATCCAAAATTTTGCTCTTCCGTTGTTATGCATAATGGATACAAACCACAATTGGATTGACATCTTTTCAATTTCATAAAAAACCTCATACCCATCTCATTTCGAATTTCCATTGGAGTTACATTGTCTTCCATCATGTATCTTATCTACATTCTTTCGCATGAACAATCGATCCCTTGTTGTGTTGAAATACCATCGACTAGATCATTGTAGGTTGCATTCTCTCGCAATAGTATTCTATAATTTGCGTAATCGCTTTCAGATATCCACGAACCCGAATGTCATAACAATATGGTTATATTTGCCATTCGAACAAAATAACTTTGAAAATTCAGTATTCAAGGGAATAAAGCGAAAAAGAAGAAGTTTAAAATGCCAGATCTGTTACTCTATCCAATTTAGTCCTTTTTTCAAAAAGCCGTAACAGTTTGATATCAATTAATCCACCTAATTCGTGGTTTGTTACATCCCATATTTTAATTGTGGAATTAAGTTACAACATTCAATTCAAATTAATTAAATAATGTATCTCTTCCCTTTAATTATGGTAGATACACGTATCTAACCACTTTTGATTCATGTATCCGACTAAAAAAAAGTGGCATAGCAAGTAATTTAAAAATCTACCGGGATTCTAAGTAATTATAATATAAAATAGTGGGATTTATGTAGTTTGCTCATGATATTTTACCTTTTATGGGCTTACTCTTTTGTATAATCAATGTTGTGGACTTTGCTGGACTATTGTGTAGTGTAAAAATCCCTTAATGACTTGGACAACAAATCTTAATATTATCATTTACACATAATTTTTTTAGTTTTATAATTGGTTAGGAGACCCAGTGTAGTCCCATAAAGTGGGGTCTAGGGAGGGTAGAGTGTATGCAGACCTTAACTCTTCCTCAGAAGTAGAGAGGATTCTTCCGATAAACCCTTCGGCTCAAGAAGATGGTCCAAAACAATCCCGAAAAAAGAAGTAACTACACAAACAAGGTTTCTTAGCCTTACGTCTCCCTTCCCAGAAGTCTCAGGAAGGCGCCACATAACAGATTGGAAGTTGCAAAATTGTAAGCTAGTAAAATTAAGATAATAGAAATTGTTGAAATTGGGACTACAATTTCCCAAAATCAGAGTACTTGATGATCCTCCAATGATGTAGGTTGAAAAGTCTTGCACATGACCTAGAGACTTGTTATTTGATTGTTAAGTTTGATACAGTCAGTTATCATCATAAGAAAGAGTTTTATCTTCAATTAATTACATAAAAATGAATCATGTAGCACAATACCGATTCATCAATACTTGAACTATGGTTAGTTTGTTACATAAACATGTTGTCTTTGATCCATAGCGAATGATGCCATCACTGATTGTTTCTAAAAGATTAAAACTCAATTCTTATATTTGTATAATGTGTTCCAATGACTCCTCATTTAATTCAAATACATACTGAGAGCTCATATTTGCTCTGTTTTGTTTAGTTATTGTTGGTTTACTCTGATCTTTTGTTCTACTTTGGTTGTCCAAGACATGAAAGATATCGAGTGGGAGGAAAATTAGGGGATCCTTGCCTGGATTTTCCCTACCTACATTTTGAGTTTTCTTTTTAACTGGAGTATTACCTTAAGAGGTATGGAATCAAGGACTTTCTGGAGTAGTATTTTTGTATGGTTGGTTTTCTGATATTGCATGTGTGATTTATATTCCTTCTGCTGCATATATACATATAATCACAGTTTGGCTTTAAAGTTTATGTAGTCAGAGCTTATATTCCTTGTACTAGCAGATGAATGCTAAGCTGATAGGATCCTTTTGTGCTTGTTAATGGATCTATGAACTCTTTTTATGAGGTTTAGTATTGATGATTTTAGTCTCTTCAGGCTTGTGTTTGAACTCTTTGAATGATCTGATAAGCGATAGCATTTATATTCTGATATAGGTATTATGCTGACCATGACCAACTACTCCTGGAACAAGGAATTGTTACTCTCCTAATATCTTTTTCTTTGATTTTATTATTACCCGTCGTTATCTTTGCTTCGGTTATCATGTTATTTGTTGTTGCTACTGATCTCTTCCCCAATGTATTTCCATACCTGATTTTGATATATTTTGCTTGAGTTGAGGGTCTATTAGAAACAACCTCTCTACCTTCCCAGGGTAGGGGCAAGATTGCGTACACACTACCCTTCCCAGACCGCACTTGTGGGATTACACTGGGTATGTTGTTGTTGTTGTTTGTTGGTTTATTCATTGGCGTATGTTAACTTGTGGTTACTGCCCCTGTGGAATTACAAACCTTGAAACCACTGCATTTTTAATCCTGAATCTGACATTGTCTCTCTATATATCTTTATTGATTGGTAATTTGGTATATAGATAGAAGAAACATGTCCACGTGTTCAAGCTACTCTGGTTACCGGGAAGAATCAAATTAATTCTAACAGATCATAATTGATACTCAATATAATTTACACAGTAGTTGTTAAAAGTTAAAACATGAAAACTCGATTTCTATATTCATATAAGGTGTTCCAATGATTTCTCATTTTTTTTTAAAAAATATTTAGTGAGAATCCATACATGTTATTTGGTTTTGTTATTGTTGTATGTCAACTCACTGTCCTACTAATGATTGATGATAACTGATTCGTTTTCAGGAGTGAATAATCCTTCTAGAGTTAATCCTAGAATCTGTACAGATGGAAATAGTTTTGGATGATTTTGCATCCTTGGTGTTAAACAACACGAAACTTGATTGTGCTGCTGAAATAGCTAATGAAGTGGCCCACGTTGCTGGACAGATTATTTGAAAATTTTGTTCTAGTCGAGTGAGATATGTATTCAGGGAAAAGAATGGGGATGGTCCAGTCACATGCATTGACATAGAAGCAGAAGAAGCTATGGTTTCCCTAAGCACCAATGTTTTCCCTTCCCACTCCATTTATGCTGAGGAGATCAACCCGGCGCAATCGTGACAATGTTCTTCTTCCGGATCTTTTTATCTGGGTTTTGGATCCCATTGATGGAACTTCAAGCTTTGTGGGGAAAGATATGTGCATTTGAAATACTAGTTGCTTTAGGCTATAATGGAAGTCCAATACTCAGTTGCATTGACTAACCAATTTTGAAACTCAGATGGATGGACATTAGGGGAAGAAACACCACTGTTAACAGCCAATAAATGGCCACAATGGATTGTAATGACATGCCAAAAGCTCGTGTCTCTCTCAAGGGACTGATGAAGGTTGTTGTTTTTGTATGTGATGCTAAGTGCTGTCATGTTAGTACTTTTGTCTTGATATTTTTGGTATAACTTTTGAATTAATTTTAATACAAAGTTCTAGAATGTAGAAGATATTGTAATATGTGGTGGAGCTTTATTTAAGCACAATAGGGAGACAGTTTTCAGGATATAAGGGATTTGACATCACCTTATGTATCTATATATGTGTAAGCTTTTGCTGAATGAAAAGATCTGCTCCTTTTCTCCAAATTATCTCTCTATTATCATATTTGTCTTCTCTTTCTCTCCTTCAATTGGCATCAGAGCTAAATTGATCTTTTAGGGACTGTTTTGAGAGAGAAAAACACGGCAAGATCACCTACCAAGTTTAACTTGTCCAAGTTTTTTTTGTTCAGTTTCCTTTCACATGGCCTCTAGCAGCTCTCCTCTTTCACCCCCTATCTTTAATGATGAGAACTACCAAGTTTGGGCAGTGAAGATGAAAACATACTTGAAGGGTATTGGATTATGGAAGTATGTTGAGGAAGACAATGCTCCAGAACCTTTGAGAGCAAACCCAACTCTTCAGCAGATCAGAAGTCATGAAGAAGAGATCGTAAAAGGTCCAAAAGCCCTGTCTTTCATTCACGCAGCTGTCTCAGATTCAATTTTTACCAGGATCATGACATGTGAATTTGCCAAAGAAGCTTGGGATATGCTGAAGCAAGAATTCCAAGGGAGTGATAGGACGAGGCAAATGCAAATATTGAATCTAAGAAAAGAATTTGAGATGTTTAGAATGAAAGAGACCGAAAAGGTGAAAGATTATATTGATAGAATCATGAAAGGGGAAAAAGTAGAAGAGCAGAGGATTGTTGAGAAGGTGATGGTGACACTTCCAGAAAAGTTTGAAGCAAAAATTTCCTCAATTGAAGATACTTGGGATATGTCTCGTGTCACATTGAATGAACTATCCAACGCTCTTCTAGCAGTGAAAAAAAGGAAAGCTTTTAGAGAGGAAGAGAGTACAAGTGAAATCGCTCTTGTGGCTGCTCAAAGATCTAAAGCTCAGTTGGATGGTGAACCAAAAAGGCAACAAAATGGAAGATATGGTAAGGAGAAGAAGGAGCAATCTAACAACCGAGGGAGATATAGAAGATCCAAGTATCCACCTTGTCCCTATTGGAAAAAGACCAATCATACAGACAAGGTTTGTTGGTACAGACCTGGAGTTCAATGCAAGTTGTGCAAACAGTTTGGTCATGAGGATAAGGTGTGCAAAATAAATCAAAACCAGCCAGCTCAAGCTCAAGCCCAGCCAGCTTAAGTTACTGAAAATGTTGAAGATCCTGAAGATAAGTTGTTTGCTGCTTCTATTGCTGGAGAATGCAATGTAGCAACTCAAGATCATGATGTGTGGCTTGTTGATAGTGGATGCACACATCACATGACAGCTAAGTTGAACATTTTTGAATGGCTGGACAAAAATTATTTCTCCAAAGTCAGACTTGGAGATGGCAGACTTGTAGATGCAAAGGGCAAAGGGCAAAGGAGCAGTTGTTGTTCAAACTCCCTCAGGTATGAAGATTATATCTGATGTATTATTTGTTCCTGAAATTAGCCAAAGTCTTCTCAGTGTTGGCCAATTGCTTGATAAAAATTATGCCATGTTATTTAAAGATAAAACATGTGAAATCATGGATCCAACTGGTATAAAATTGCTCTCAGTCAAAATGAACAACAAAAGTTTCCCTCTTGATTGGAAACATACTGACATTGGAGCTTATGTCAGCATTCAAGATGAAACTTATGTCTGGCATAAGAGGCTTGGTCACATCAATTTTCAATCTTTAAAATTGATGCAAAATAAGGATCTTGTGTGGGGTTTGTCAAATTGGGAAGCTAAGTCAATCACCATTTCCTATTAATCAAGCCTGGAGAGCTACTGAAAAGCTCCAACTAATACACACTGATGTGTGTGGACCTATGAGCACTCCTTCTTATAAAGGCAACAAATATTTTCTTTTATTCATTGATGACCTTACGAGGTTTTGTTGGGTTTACTTTCTGAAACATAAATCTGAATTATTTGTTGCGTTTCAAAGGTTTAAAGCAACTGTTGAAAACCAATGTGGCTCTTTGATAAAAATCTTAAGGTCTGATAATGGGACCGAGTTCATTTCCAATCAATTCAAGGATTTTCTTCAGAAAGCAGGAATTCATCATCAACTTACAGTCACTTACACACCACAACAAAACAGTGTAAGTGAAAGAAAAAATAGGTCCATTATGAATATGGGTCGGTGTCTTCTGTTTGAGAAAGGTCTGCCTAAAGTGCTATGGGCTGAAGCTGTAAATACTGTTGTCTATCTACAAAATAGATTGCCGACGAGAGCAGTTGAAAGAAAGACTCCATACGAAGCATGGATTGGAACCAAGCCATCAGTTGCTCATCTTAAAGTATTTGGCTGTATCTGTTACTCTTATATTCCTGACGTTAAAAGGGATAAACTTGATCAAAGAGCTGAAGTTGGAATATTTGTGGGATACAACAGCACTTCTAAAGGATATAGGATTTTAAATCCTATTTCACAACAAATCTATGTAAGTAGAAGTGTTAAATTTGATGAGGATGTTGCATGGGACTGGAAGAAGATGGTTGTTTCTTCTTTCCAGATCACTAATCAAGAACAAAGTGCCCAAGAAGAAGAGTTGATTCCAGAGGAAGAGGAGGACTCTGATGATTTTGCAGTAAGAGGTACTAGATCCATTGGAGATATATATAGCAGATGCAATGTCGCTATGTTGGAGCCAACAAATGTAGACAATGCATTGCAAATTCCTGAATGGAGGGCAGCCATGGAGGAGGAGCTCAATATGATTAACAAGAATAATACATGGGTACTTGTACCTAGACCTCTTGACAAGCAGGCTCTTGGAACTAAATGGGTGTTCAAGATTAAACTGAATTCAGATGGCACACTCAACAAGTACAAAGCAAGGCTGGTTGTAAAGGGGTATGCGCAACAACATGGAATTGATTTTCATGAAACCTTTGCACCAGTTGCAAGGTTTGATACCATTAGATTGCTACTTGCAGTTGCAGCACACCAAGGTTGGCAAGTATTTCAATTGGATGTTAAGTCCGCCTTCCTTAATGGGTACCTTGAAGAGAAAATTTATGTAGAGTAGCCTAAAGGTTTTACAGGAGCAAGAGACCAGGTATATTTGTTAAGAAAAGCTCTTTATGGCTTGAAACAGGCACCTAGGGCCTGGTATGCTCGGATCGATAGCTACTTACTGAATTTGGGGTTTAAGAGAAGCTGCAATGAAGCAACTCTGTATATTAGACTTCAAAATGATTTTCTCTCTATGTTGATGATCTGTTGGTGACTGGCAGCAGCACACAGACTATCAAAGACTTCAGGGAGCAAATGAAGAAGGTCTTTGAAATGAATGATCTGGGAAAAATGACTTATTTCTTGGGAATGGAGGTTAATCAATCTTCTCAAGGAATCTTTGTTTCTCAGAAGAAATATGCTACCGAAATATTGAAGAATTTTTGTCTTGACAAATGCAAACCAGTAAGTACGCCTGCAGTTCAAGGAGAGAAACTAATGAAGGAGGATGAGTCTGGTTTGGTCAATGCTTCAATTTATAGAAGTTTGATTGGTTCCCTGTTGTATTTATCAGCCACGAGGCCTGATATTATGTACGCAACAAGTGTGCTATCAAGGTTTATGCATTTACCAACTGAAACTCACCTCAGAGCAGCCAAAAGAATTTTGAGGTACATTCGAGGCACCATTGATTATGGTGTGTTTTATAAAAGAACCACATCTATGAAATTGTTGGGTTTACTGATAGTGACTGGGCTGGGTCGCAAGACGACATGAAAAGCACTTCAGGATATTGTTTCACTCTCGGATCAGGTGTCATTTGCTGGTGCACAAAGAAGCAAGGGTCCGTGGCTCAATCAACAGCTGAAGCAGAGTACGTTGCTGCCTCCGGTGCTGTTAATCAAGCTCTATGGTTGAGAAAAATCTTGATTGACTTGGGTTTCATCCAAGCAAAGCAACTGAAGTCCTTTGTGATAACAAATCTGTTGTTGCCATGGTAAAGAATCCAGTCTTTCATGGAAAGACTAAACACATTAAAATCAAATACCATTCCATTTGAGAAGCTGAAAGGGAAAATGAAGTTCATATTTTGTATTGTTGTGGTGAAGATCAACTAGCTGATATTTTTACCAAGGCACTGCAGAAACAAAGATTTGAGCTTCTTAGAGCTAAGCTTGGAGTATTCAACAACACTTGCATCAAGGAGGAGTGATGAAGGTTGTTGTTTTTGTATGTGATGCTAAGTGTTGTCATGTTAGTACTTTTGTCTTGATAATTTTGGTATAACTTTTGAATAAATTTTAATACAAAGTTCTAGAATGTAGAAGATATTGTAATATGAGGTGGAGCTTTATTTAAGCACAATAGGGAGACAGTTTCCAGGATTTAAGGGATTTGACACCACCTTATGTATCTATATATGTGTAAGCTTTTGCTGAATGAAAAGATCTGCTCCTTTTCTCCAAATTATATCTCTATTATCATATTTGTCTTCTCTTTCTCTCCTTCAGGGACAAAACTACAATGATGATGTGAAGCACGCATATGATTGTATCTCATTAAAGGTGACTAAGTTCTTTAGTTGTATTTTTTTTTCTTACAAAAACTTGTCAGAATTACATTGCCTCAGAAGAATCAAGCTTTTCTAACTGTTGTATCAATTCATTTCTGAACTATATCAGTTGTTTCACAACCGCATAAGCTACAAACTAGCAGTAATAAATAAGGGGCGTTCCTGTTGCTTCTCTTGTTGCTTTATGTGGTCCGCCACATGAGTAATTACTCCAGCTCCAGCATTGTGAAACCATTCATTCTTTACATGGATATTGTTATGAGCTAAGAAAGGCCAAAATGCTGAGTGAAAGCTAACATCAACTTTCTTCCAACTGACCTGCTGTAAGCCACGTATCATTTCCTCTTCCATAATTTCATGGTATTCCAATGTGTTCTGCATGCTAGGTGCATTTTGGGCTGCCTCTTTTGCTTTGGCTGCCTCAGGAGGGAAATGAGGACCTTCAGATGGAACAGCCGGACAGTACTCCATATCTACAACATGCTTGTAGCCGTCCAAAGATCGCCGAGGAGGCTTGCAAAGTTCTGTCTCCCTTCTTATAGAGGATGTACGCCAACCAACCATATGGTCATAAGATACATTAGCATAAAGCACCCGGCATTTGAAAGCACTAAGGGCTGATATGAAGTTACCATCATCACTATCGGATGCCATTCTAAGTAGAAGAGGTGGTTTGTTGGGTTTGCCATCTGTAAGAAAGAGCTGTCTACCAGTTTGACCAACCACAAAGGAAGCAATTGGTGCTGCAAGTTTCTCTAAGATAGGAACTCCAAATAGAAATGGAAGCTGTTTTTTCCCTCTGACACCAAGATGTGGTGTTGCCAAGGTGATAAAATTGATTGGTTCCAGCCCAGCAATTAATCCTTTCTGCTTGATGTTTGTAGTAGCTGAAGCAGCAACCAGATCATCACTATAAAGAAGAGCAAGTGCATATCTTGCAATCAATCCACCAAGAGAATGAGCTAAAAAGGAGATCTTCTTTAAGGTATGTTCTCTCCTCTTTACAACCAGCATGACTTCATTTGCTAGCCTCTTTCCCGCTCCATCAATCCCAGTGAAGGTTTTAGTGAAAGTGTTACACGAACTTGCATACATCACAAAGTTTCTTCCCAACCGCGTTTTTAGCTCTGCTTGTGCATACGTCCAATCACTTGGGCTTGCCAAGATGCCATGAACAAGAACAATAAGATGTTCAGGGTCATCCTCCACGTCCATTGGCGACAAAAAGCTGAAAAAATCCCAATTAAAGCCCTAGAATATAGTCAAAAGATATCGAAGAACAGTAAGATAAGGAAGATTGAAATGACGAATAATGATGAGAAGTTGGAGGCAATGATGCGATAAATATATAGCAATGACTGAATTTGTGGTTTGTTATGTCAGCATTTCCCCCATTCTTTTCATAATATAGTATTATCCATTTATCCTCCATGTCCATGCCCATGCCCATGTCCTGGCTTCTTATCAATATGGATATTTTAAAGGATGGAATGGATCCACCATTATTGGGAGATTTCTACTCCCTTCTTTTTGGGGGGCAGCTGACTTTTATATTCCCTAGTTTATTGAGATGTGCATATATGTATACTATATTGACACACAATGTCACTTACTGAAATGTGTTTTTTACCCTAATAAATAAATTTTATGTTGGACAAATTTATAATCTAAGTTACTTTTAGGACTTCAAATCAAATGATTTTTTTGTAGAACTTTGAAACAAAATATTATTTCACTTTGCTGATATTATTTTAATTTGATTCCTTCTTGAGTGAGTGCGAGATTTTTTATTTTGTATCGCATACAATTGATAATTGAGGTCTTTTTGCTTATGTGGGATTCAAATCTTACACTTTTGGATCTCATCTATTTGCGAGATTTAAAAAAAAAAAGCACAATTATTATTAGTTGTATGAGGTATAAAATAAAGGGGAAATTAAGTAAATGTTCCATAGATACAAATCAATTACAAACATATAATCTCTTACATTGATGTCCTCCTGAATAATTACAATAGTTGCCCCAATTGATTATTTCGCTTAACTATATTGGTATTATAATGCTAATAGTTTCGCTTAATTGATGATAATTTCACTTAACTAATATTAAGCTTAACAAATATGTAACGAGGATAAAAATTTACTACTATTAAAGTACTGGTTAGACTTAGAATACAAGATATAGAATTAGAAACCTTAGCGTTAGTAGATACAGGATGTACGGGTAGTATCATAAACAAAAAGATTTTACCACAAAAATTAATAAAAACCTTGGATAAGCCAATAGCGACAATGCAGATGGACGAAACGTATAATACTTATCAACATTATATAGGAAAGACACAGGTAAGTTTCGTGAACGCATGCAATGAATTTTATAAACCAATGTATACCCTTGACAAAATATGGGTAAGAGACCTAAACATAAATGTAGATTTTGTATTAGGATTAAAATTCATGATACAAAACAATGGAGAAACATTGATTACAAGAGATGGGGTAATATTTTTTAAAAATCTAACTTATACATCAGTACAGACAATCAATTTTGAAACAAAAGGAAGACAAGCTAGTATCACCCCAGACAATGATAACTTACAAACATGTTGCAAACACTGTAAAAATAAAAGTCAATGTTGTAGAAACTTAAGACATAAAGAACAATACGAAGAAGAAGAATATGATATAAGGGAAAAAGATTACACTCTGATAGAAGTAGAGAATGAATTCTATAATTTTCAAATAGGAATCGATAAGATAGGTACAATTAGAAGTCCTAAAGACTTAGATAATATAGTAAAAATATTAGACGAAATGGAAATAATAGGAGAAGACTCTTTAAAATATTGGGAAAACAATAAGGTGGTATGTAAACTAGATATCATAAATCCTGAATACATAATAAAAACAACTGCTATCGAAGCAACTAATCAAGATCTAGAAGATTTCGGTGTACAGATAAAAGAATTATTAAATTTAGGAGTAATAAGAAGATCTACTTCAAAACATAGATCAACAACATTCATGGTTAGAAATCATAGTGAGATAGTAAGAACCTTTCGAGCTTTTTATTATTAATTTTTTATTGGTATCAAAGCAAGAAGTTTTTGGGAAACTACCATTTAATGAGAAGACCTTTACGCAATACTCATATACATTTAGAAACAAAAAGAAAATTGGAAAGTTTATATCTAGAATATAAAAGACTAAATAGTACCAGAGAAGACAATATAAGATTAGATTATTTAATTGATATAATATCTAGATTAGAATATAAATTCATTACACAGTTAAAATCTAGACAGAGGTAATATATGAAAAAGCATCCATTCGCTAATCAACTAAGAATAAGATATTGGTATTTATATAGAGAAATACAAATAAAACTAGAGTGGTTAAAACTAAAAAAGGCATTAAGCCTATATTTAAAAGTATTAGAAACAAGAGACTTAACAGATAGACTTTGTAATCACGGAGGCCTATACTCATCAAATAGACCAACACTAGTCAACCCATAATTGTTAAGTGCTATAAAGTGGGAGCTACATAGCATAGATAGTGATATCCAATACGCCAATAATAGAATAAAAGTTCAAAAAAAGGGTATTAGTGAAATAGATATTCCACTAGGATAAAGATAGTAACTATAGATCCATTAAAACAACTAGAATACTTAGAACTAAGAATCTACCCTGAAAAGAAATATAGAATATTAAAAGATAATACGATAATAAGGTGCAATTTTAGTCAAGGAGAACATCTTTTACATTCCGAAGACAAGCAATATAATACTATAATAGATCTGATAATAAACTTTAGTGAAAAAACGCGGCAACAAGATAAGAATATAGTGAGATTACTAGAAATAATAGAAATAACTCAAAGCAGACATAAAAAGATACTAGAAAAATTAGAACAAAACTTTGATTTCTTAAAAGCACAAGAATTAGAAATAGATAGAAAAATCCAATACTTGAATAATAAATTTAAAATAGAAAAGATACCTTCAAAAGTTGAAATAGAAAAGCTAATAAAGACTATAACAGAAAAGCCTAACGAATTAGAAAAAAGAACAACTGAATTAGTTACAACAATTACTAGGCAAGTAGCAATAGTAACTACTGAAGTCAACGAATTAAAAAAGACAACAAAGTCTCGAAGAAAAACTCCTTTCATGAATGATTTATGTCAAGATCCATCATACGCTAAAGCCCTAAAATTTACAACTAGCATCCAACCAGATCCACAAGGATTGTCTGATCACCAACCTGCAAGTAAATCAGATCAAGTAATTATTAAACAAAATAATACTATAATAGCACTATTGTTAGAATTAAATAAAAATTAGATAAAATAATAAAAGAAAAAGACAATGGAATTATGCAAGAACCATATAAACTTTTTAGGAGTAATATTAGGAGAAGGAAAAGTTAAATTACAACCACATATAGAAACCAAAGTTTTAGACATGCCTGATAAATTAGATAATACAAAAGACTTACAAAAATTTCTAGGATTGGAAATATATGCTAGAAACTTTATTAAAGATTTAGGAAAACTAGCCGGACCATTATATTCAAAAACAGGAAGCAAAGGGCAAAAACATTTTAACACAGAAGATATAAAATTAGTACAAAAAATTAAAGAAAAAGTTAAAAATATTCCAGAACTAAGTATACCATTTAGAAACAGATTATTTAATAATTGAGACAAATGGAAGTTAACAAGGATGGGGAGCTGTATTAAAAGCTAGACCAAATAAATATAGTGATAAGACAGAAGAAAAGATTTGTGCTTATCAAAGTGGAAAATATAAAGAAAAAGGAAATATGAGTAGTATAGATGCAGAAGTTTTAGCAATAATATATGGCTTAAATAACTTTAAATTATATGTTTTAAATAAAAACGAAATATTAGTGTCACGCCCGAGTCTACACCCTGGGCGGGACTGGCACTCGGAGACCATTTCTGGCCCCAAGTGAACTCTTGGCCTGACTTACTTAACTCAGCGGAAGACTTGACTCAATGAAACAGTCTCAAATAATAACTTAAAGAATAATAAGTTGGCCAAAATGGCACTTAAGTCTTAAACAACATCTGAAAGATAAAGAAAGACATCTAAACTAATAACTATTTGACTGTCTATGAAGCCTCTAAAATACTGATATGGATATTGGGACAAACCCACAACATCCTAATAAATGAAAGACTGAAAGCGAATAAAAGAGTCCTCTGAAATGCAAAGAGGCTCACCACTGACTCTGAGCTGCTCAACTGGATTAACGAAGTGCTGGATGCTGATCCTGGTTACTTGCGTCTGCATCATAATAAGATGCAGGCCAACTGACATCAGTACATTGAATGTACAAGTATGGGAGTTGGAAAGCTAAACCACACATAAGATAGAAGGAATCTGAAAGAAACTGAATAACTTACCTGGCTCACTCAACTCAACCTGACTGACTCATTTCAATATAGAGCAATTTAAAGCAAGTGCAATATAAAGAAAAGTTGTTTAAAACATGCTATAAACTCTGTGTGTATGCAAAGATACAATAAATCTGAGATGTATGTAGAAATACAAATGAACTGATGTATATAGAAATACAATAACTGTTGTGGGAGTTTTTCTAATCGACAACCATCACATAAGAGCTATAGTGATGATACAACGATCAAACTCACGCTGCCAGAGCATTCTATACCTGGCCAAAGGTACAGAACCTGAACTGCCTAATGGATCCACTAGTCTAATTTGAAAAGGATTCATCTAAAAAGTATGAACCTCTTCTACCCATGATGACAACATGGTTCTATGGGGGCTATGGGTTCTTTGAACACTCCCCCAATTTGGTGCTCAATACTACTCCCAAAAATGTACTGGCTCTTATGTTTTTTTTAAACATATTTCCTTTGTGATTTGAGATTAGTGCTCAAAAGAACTTAGCTCAAAGGCTATCTTGGAAATTAAAGTTTCCCTTCTTGCTTCATTTAGAAAGCGATTACTCTTTTTTTTAAAACTAGCCCGAAGGCTCTTTGGAAATCTCAGTTTCCGTTCTTATTTAAATGTGAAAACATTTTAAATCTCTTTGGGAATACTTAGTCCCCATATACTTTTGAAGAAATGAACTTCAAACTTTACTCTTACTCTTTACTCTTTACTCTTTACTCTTTACTCAACTTGAACTTTAAGTCTTAAAACAAAGTTAAAACATTTGGAAAAGACTTTTGGAAAACTCTAAGGATTCATCTTGACTTGACTCTTATTTTTCTTGACTTTGATCTTAACTTTCCTTGAATTGGATTATGGATTCAAGGTTCATGATCTCATGTTTATGGATGATTTCATGATGTTTAGATGTATTTTAGAATGTTAGAATCGACTAGGAAA